CTAGTACCATCTAAGTCTATACCAAAGACACCCTTAGAGTTGTGGAATGGTCAAAAGCCAGTTTTGAAGCATATTCGCATATCGGATTGTCCGGTTCATGTGATGTAACAATAGACTAAGAAGTTGGAATCAAGATCAGAAATATGCATATTTGTGGGATATGTAATGAGGACAAGAGGATGATTATTTTATATAGCACCAGAATCAAAGGATATTTGTATCAACAAATGCCACGTTTCTGGAGCATGACTATATGATAGTTTTCAAGCCCAGAAGCAAAGTAGTTCTGAAAAACTTACTTTCCAATAAGATTGGACCACAATCAACAAGAGTTGTTGAAACGCTTAGAGATATGACCACGATTTCTAATCAAACTCCTGTGGCACCTCGTCGTAGTGGGAGGGTAAGCAAGTTACCTGATCGGTATACTGAGGAAGCACAGATCATCACTGTTGATGACGGTAAGGAGGATCCATTGAGCTTTAAGGCTACGATGGATGATTTTGATAAGGAAAAGTGGCAAGCAGCTATGAAACTCGAGATAGAATCCATGTACTCCAACTCAGTCTGGTAACTTGTAGATCTACCTGAAGGGGTAAAACCCATTGGATGCAAGTGGATCTTCAAGAGAAATAGAGGATGGGATGGAAAAGTAGAGACTTATAAAGCAAGGCTAGTGGTTAAGGGTTACACCTAGAAAGAGGGAGTTGACTATGAGGAAACTCTCTCACCGGTGGCCATGCTTAAGTCCATCCGAACACTCTTAGCCATAACAACATATTTTGAATATGAGATATGGCAGATGGATGTCAAGACAACTTTTCTGAATGGCTATCTAGAGGAAACCATCTATATGGATTAGCCAGAGGGTTACATAGAGAAAGGCCATGAGCAGAAAGTCTGCAAGCTGCAGAGGTCCATTTATGGATTGAAGCAGGCTTCTAGATCATGGAACATCCGATTTGATAAGGCTATTAAGTCTTATGGATTTGATCAAAACCAAGATGTTTCAAATGAAAGAAAAGAAGATGTTCTTATTCTTTATAAGCCCGAATATCTGATATTTAGTGGGAGTGGTTAGTCGTTGTCAGTTGAACTCAAGATTTGATCATTGGGTAGCCGTGTAGTGCATCCTTAAGTGTATGAGGAAAGAGTTGTCTTTCACGAGATACATAAACTTTGACTATGAGTCATGACAAGAAAGGTTGTTGGCAAAGTGTGATTGCTAATTTTATCATTAAGAGTTAATGTGTAGCAGCTTGTGAAGCAGCAAAAGAAAGCAACCTGACTCTAGAAATTCTTAACTGATCTGGAAGTTGTTCCAGACATAG